TATCTATCTATCTATCTAATATACAGTATTTAAGTCTGTCAATCTCTGCCTGCCTGCCTGCCTGCCTACTCAATCTCTGCCTGCCTGCCTGCCTGCCTACAGTATCTCTGTCTGTCTCTTTCTTTTCTAAGTGGGGGCTTTTAACCCAGACTACAACTCACAAGAAGGCTGTACGAATAGCAAATTAATTCTCACGAAGGTTTGTTTATTTTATTTTATTTTTTACTTTCCAAATCAGGGCTGCAGATCGATCTTTCTTTGCCAACTCCAAATTCATGGCTCTCCTCCAATTCCCTTTTCAGGCGGGGAATTAATCTCGTTATTCCCCCCCACCCCCTTCTCCCTTAATCCCCTCCTCCCCACACGGAATTTGGACAACGCTTCTTCCTAGGGTCACAAAACCGGGCGCTTCGAGTCTTCCCCAAGCTGGCATAACTTTTGGGGAGGAGTCGAGAAGAGGGTTATCCAATACCGCAGGGGTTGTGTGTATAACTTGGGCCACTTTAAGACTTGAGGACTTCAACTCTCAGAATTCCCCAGCCAGCTGTTGAAGTCCGCAAGTCTTAAAGTGGCCCAAGTTGGACACAACACCCACCCACCCCACCCCCGCAATACGGGATGCTCGCCCCTTGAAGCCAAATGGCCATTATTTTGTTGTGATTGTTGCTAAATGCAAAAAAACCCAACAACAACCATCCCGCTAATTCGCTGCAGTTTCCCTGTTCCTGCTCCGGGGAGAAGCCCGAATGCAGGCCCGGAGGGCAGGGAGAGGGGGAAGGCTGCGGTTCGAAGGAGAGAAAGTTGCAAGGCGACCCCACGGACCCTTACCTGCTCGACTGTGGCGCCAAGTCGGCGGGGCGGCAGCTAGGACAAGAAGTCACGCAGCGCAAAAGCGGGGCCCTCCGCGGCGGCTTCCGGAGTCAGGCGGGTATGCGCACCATCCGCGCTCGGCTCCTCCTTTCCCGGGAGGAGGAGGAAGAAGGGACGGAACGGGAGCACGCGCGGGGTGGGGGTGGGGTGGGGGAGGGAAGCGTGGCCGGTAAGGGTTGCAGTTCTAAAACTCACCAGCGGGATAGAAGGAAGGAAGGGAGGGAGGAGGGAGGGAGGAAAAAGAGAAAGAAAAAAGAAAGTAGTAGATAGGAAGGAAGGAAAAACAAAAAGAAAGAAAAAAGTACATAGGAAGGTAGGAAAGTAGGTAGATAGGAAGGAAGGAAAGAAATAAGATAGAAGGAAAGAAAGAAAGAAAAAGAAAAAAGGTAGGAAGGAAGGAGAGAAAGAAAAAA